TCGAGGAAGTGGAAAGGCAGCTGCACGCCGCCAAGTCATGGAAAGCACCTGGAGACGACGGACTGCCTGTCATAGTGTGGAAGCAGGTCTGGCCGGTAGTAAAAGACCATGTGCTTGCGCTATTCCAGCAGTCGCTAGAGGAGGGAGTGCTGCCCAGCCAATGGAGACACGCNAGGATTATACCGCTCAAGAAGCCAGGTAAAGAAGACTACACTGTCGCAAAAGCGTGGAGGCCGATCTCATTGTTGGCCACGCTAGGCAAAGTGCTAGAGTCGGTGGTGGCAGAGAGGATTTCGCACATGGTGGAGACCCACGGGCTTCTGCCCACCAACCACTTNGGAGCGCGCAAGCAGCGATCAGCCGAGCAAGCACTCGTGCTACTCCAAGAACAGATTTATACTGCGTGGCGGGGTCGGCGGACTGTCAGCCTAATTAGCTTCGATGTCAAAGGAGCGTACAACGGGGTGTGCAAGGAAAGATTGCTGGAGAGGATGAAAGCACGAGGCATACCACAGAAGCTGCTGAAGTGGGTAGAGGCATTCTGCTCAGAGCGCACTGCGTCAATCCAGGTCAACGGACAGGCGTCTAAGGTCCAAGAACTGCCACAAGCAGGTCTACCGCAAGGATCTCCGTTGTCGCCAATTCTGTTTCTCTTCTTCAACGCCGATCTAGTGCAGCGACCTATCGACACGTACGGAGGCGCGATCGCGTTCGTTGACGACTTTACTGCGTGGGTTACAGGCCCGACGGCGCAAAGCAATAAAGAGGGCATCAACGCCATTATCCAAGACGCACTGGAGTGGGAACGGAGAAGCGGAGCGATGTTTGAAGCAGAAAAGACGGCCGTTATCCACTTTACTCGCAAGGCGTANAAGAGTGCTGCCGAACCCTTCGTCATTAAAGGGCAGAGCGTATCGCCTAAGGACCACGTCAAGATACTCGGCGTGCTTATGGACGCCAGGCTTAAGTATCACAAACACATCGCAAGAGCAGCTGCGAAGGGACTAGAGGCAGCATTAGAACTTAGGAGGCTAAGAGGGCTCTCACCTACAGTAGCACGACAGCTGTTCACGGCAACGGTCGCGCCGACAGTGGACTACGCGTCGAACGTGTGGATGCACGCCTATAAAGACAAGCTTAGAAGACCGATCAATAGAGTGCAAAGAATATGTGCACAAGCGATCGTCGGGACGTTCAGCACGGTGGCAACGTGGGTGGCAGAGGCAGAGGCGCATATCCCAAGTGCACATGAGCGGTTCTGGAAGCGGGCAGTCAAGCTATGGACCGATATCCATGCGCTACCTGAGACGAACCCACTGCGGCGAAACACGTCGCGGATGCGAAAGTTCAGAAGACAGTACCGTTCGCCACTATTTCAGGTGGCAGAAGCGCTCAAAGACATAGAGATGGAGCAGATGGAGACGATCCAACCGGGTGTCCTGGCACCATGGGAGAAGAGGGTGCAGACCGTAGTCGAGAACGCGGCACAGGAGATAAAAATAAACTGGGCGGTACGCATCGCTGTAAGCAGCTCAGCGAGGAACGGAGTAGTCGGAATAGGAGGCGCGATCAAAATACAGAACAACGGAAAACAATCTTTCTCCGTTACATTAGGCAGGAGGGAGGAACAGAATCCGTATGCGGCAGAGCTAGCAGCAATGGCCGAGGCGCTGAGCAGACTGCCGAAGCTGAGGTATCGCAGCATCGCGCTCATAACAAGAAACAAAGCTGCTGTGCTCACACTCAGAAGACCGCGGCAGCAGTCTGGGCAAAGCTACATTAGCGAGTTCTACAAGACTGTGCAGACACTAAGAAGAGACGGCAATACAGTAACAGTACTATGGCTACCTGCAAGCGAAGAGTGCGAGCTCGCAAGCCTCGCCAAGCAAGAGGCGAAAATAGCAACCAGACTGACTGCTAGGGTACAGACACAGCTTCCTAGAATGCGATCAACCACGCACAATATTGCACGTAAGCAAGGCGTAGCCAAGAAGGTGCCAGCGGACGTAGGAACATACTCTAAACGAATCGACACGGCACTGCCAGGAAAGCATACGCGGCAACTCTACGACGGGCTTTCACGGAAAGAGAGCAGCGTACTTGCACAGCTTAGAACAGGCATGGCACAGCTGAACACGTATCGACACCGAATCAAAGCATCAGCGACAGACCAATGCGAATGCGGGCAGGCAGCAGAGACGGTGGAGCATTTTCTATTCCGCTGCCGAAAGTGGACGACACAGCGGATAGAAATGCTGCAGTGTACGCAGATAAGCAGAGGAAATATGTCATTTTACCTAGGCGGCAAAGCAGTGACAGACGACGCGAAATGGGCGCCAGACATGGATGCAGTGCGAGCGACGATACGATTCGCAATAGCAACACGGAGACTTGATGCGAACTAATATCTAAGTAACTACTAGGTAAACCACAGCTACTAACATAAACTTATCTACAGCCTCGTGCAACCGACAGCAGACAGCGCTTCAGCCGCCGAAGATAGGACGCTGAACACTTAGAGAATCTCGTAGAGATGCCGACTCTAAGCCAGTCTGCCACCAGTAATACTAACCCACGAGCACTTGATGAGGAGCGATCGTAGATAGAGAAGAGGCGGGCCAAGGTATTGAGTAAGGGCTTGGATTTAGACGATAAGATATATAAAGAAGTGGGCCAAAGAAGACGTATGGGCTGAGGAAACCAAGAGTGAGCATAGGAAGTGTAAAGTTAGACTAGCGTTAGTAGCCCTTTCGGCTCGGCCGCCGGGCGTAAATAAATTGTGTGTGTGTAGAGAGACAGGACATAATCCGCGCACATTTGTGAAAGATGCAGTATGTAAGGGGCTGCGCTCCGTGGTGCAAGCGCTTAACTAGTATATAAGAGGTTCTTGTTACGAACCAAGCGAAACTGCTTACGACGGCAAGGGTGTAATCAGTTTCAAGAAATGCGGCACAGCAAGGCCACGACCACATTCCTCGGAATCCTTCTTAACCACGCCGCATGTCACGTGATAGATCGTCAACGATCACATAGCCGAGAGCCAATCAAGAGCGATCGTACACGATCAAGCCCAGGACCAATCACAGCAACGAAGGATACTGATCGTACACGATCACTGTATTGATCGTCCACGATCACAACATTCACTTAGTATATAGCGATAGGCATCGAACCCTTATGGCTCGATGTGTTCAACTTAAGTTACGAGTACAAGTACAATATACGAGTTACTTGCAGAACCTTGTTCATTACACCCTGTTGCTTCATCCGCGAAAACCAACCCTGAGAGTCTTGACACCTGAAGTCTTATATTACTTCTACTCAAGAACCTTACTCTTAACAGTTCTAACGTGCGTCCCTCCGTGACGGACATCCAAGTATGCTGGAGCTGACCAATTGCAAGAAGTTTGTCATTTAAGTGAACTGATTGGTCAGTTCTGGCACACTGGGTGTCCGTCACGAAGGGATGCACGGCACGTTAAGTGGCAAAGTTCTCTCCTAACTAGAAAAAGACTAGCGTAACAAGCACGACACTTCAAAGTGCTTCTGCTTGTTACGCTAAGCCTAAAGAAGCTATTTACAGAACAAGCGAGCGTTATCAGCCGACAAGAAGCGCATCCGTAAGCAAGCACGAAGGCGCGTAGGTTAAATTCTAGATCGGTGTAGACAAAATTTAACTATAGTAATTAGTATGATAGCAGAGAGAACGTGGCGAGCTTACTAGAGATTAGGGAAGCGTGTGCAGAACAAAAAGACCTCTAGTAGGAACATGACTAAGGAGAGGCAGATGGAAGCTATAAATGAGTTCAAAGAGACACCACAGAGTTGGTGAGCTTCTGAGAACGATTTTCCAAACGTGTCGTCCATGGCTCTAGTCTAACGTTCCGTCCCTAGACTAGAAATTTTCACATAGAACGAATCGATCCTGAACGGCGAAGGCCTTTTTGATCTCTGCTTTACCCTACAAACAGCCCTATTTAGCCTAGCGTGGAAAGCAGCAGAGTTCAAAGGCCTTTTGCTTTCCACGCTAGCCTTTTTCTGGATCAGCGTATTAGAGAGATCTTATCCAAAGAGTCCTTCGCTGTTCAGGATCAATCTGGTCTAGGATACGGTGGAGGGCACCAGCCAAGAAGTAAGCGTATGTAGTACGGACCGCACTAGACAGGCTCTAGTTTTTGTACCGGCAACTCTATGTGAGGTAACTAAACACTATGTTCAATAGTATGTTTAATCGCAGGACTCTAGATACTAACTCTGCCTAAAACATTTGCATATCCAATTCGCCAGTATGGTTAATTGAATTAGATCTTTTTCTTCAGCTGTCATAGCATGCCGGGTATGTCTAATGCCCAATTTGCGGGGGAGGTGGGGTCGTAAGGCTCGAAGGCTCGTCGATGGGCTAGCTAGAAAGTCCCTCCGTGGCTGTGCTTTGTGTTGCAACTATTGTGCCAAAAAGTGTTTGGGCTCCGTCGTCGAAACTCCTGTTGCTATATGTAGCGGGCTGTTTTACTCCAACATATTTGTTGCAAACGGTGCTATGCAGCAAGTCGATATTTCCCCTCTTTTAGCTTCGCTACCTTTCTACGGCATTATACTGCTGTGTCATAATTATGCAATGCTTACGCTTTTGATTGTTTTCAAGGGCGATAAGTAGGCATCTAGGATGTAGGTTGAAACACTGCGCCGCAGTGGCGCGACTGCTTACCAGTATGCAGCTTACACCGCTCACGGGATAGATTGCTTGCAATAGACCGGCTGACCGTAAACAATAAATTCGGCACCATAGACCTTGTAGGACAAAACAAAAAGACACAAATAAGGTATAACCATGTCCAATATATTACTAAGTAAGCAAATGTAGTGAAATTCGTCGAGTTTAAGCAGAACGTGTCATGAACGGTTTCAGTGGCGCTAATGTAACAATTTTGTTCTAGAGGACGGTCATATACTGTATTCATCCGTGAAATAACAGGACAATAACGATAATAAGATCGATAATGTTAGAAGTCCTTCAGTTCAGGGCCATTGGCAAGACGAGTGACAGGATCAACAATCGCACTCAATCTCGTGGTGAGACCGCAGCCATGCTGGCTTTTCTTGGATTTGTTTGGGCGGCACCACGCAGGAGATCTGATATGCTGCACCTTGGTACACAGTTCCGAAATGCTTAAGTCGTAGTATGGCACTGTTGGGATTGGTAACAAACCTTGTCGTTCCATCTCTTTGAGTAAGGCACCATAAAGTATAGACCCACATTCGAATGTTTCACCCTGTGGGCATTCATAAAGCGGACTACGGAACTCCTCAAGGAGATCCTCCAATTGAGAAAAGACTGTTTCAATTGCGTGCCTCCGTAACTCTTCAATTCTGTCTTTGAGACGTCAGCCCATACATTAGCTGCGCATATACCCGCCTACCTACTAATGCATATTGCAATTGGAAGACCTAGAGTTGGTAGTTCTCGGTCATCTCGTCTGATTGCTGCTGTCGTCGTCTGCAAGAACTCTTGCGGAAGCTTCAATACCCAAGCTATGCACATCCATAGCAGGAGGTCGCGGCAGAGATTTGAAGGAATAGGAGTGGTCGCTCGCAGACGCTCAACCCATCTTTCTGTAAACGACTCCAGTGCTTCTGCACAATCGTAGAAGTCGATCAAAACAGCTATCTTGGCAAGTGTCTCCAGGGATACTGTGCGTGGTACTTGACTATTGCGGAGATGCAGGACCTGCAGAACGCAAAGTAGTGCTTCACTGTCCCAACTCTCGGTATGTAAGTGATAGAGATCATCGTTCTCATCACGGGTACCCTCCTTCCAGTTTGTTGCAGAGAGCATACGCTCCCATGTGGATGATGTCGATACGAGGTGGCGCCGAGAAACATGGTACCAAATTTCGTCTCCTTCGGCGTCGTTCGGGCTTGTCTCGCTTGCATCGTCCGCCACAATAGCAACTTTGACAGATGTTGCCTGGTCAGCGTCTCCAGAAGCAGATCCCTGGTGAAACAGTGTGGTGTCCCCTTCAACTTCGGCGGGGCTCCAAGGCGCGAAGCTAGCATTTGGGTGTTTTAAGATGATTATTGTATCTGCTTTAGCATCAACCTCATATTTGAATATAGGCATATTTGCAAGTGGGGGAAAAGCAGAAAAGGGCGAATGCAAACTTTTGAGCGCTTGTAGAAGATGACCACTGGTGTTAAGTGTTCATGCAGGCTCTGCCTTGTAGGACAATGGCATCCAATGAAGCGTCGCTACGTGGCTTCCATGTACACACACACAATTTATTTACGCCCGGCGGCCAAGCCGAAAGGGCTACGAACGCTAGTCTAGCTTTACACTTCCTATGCTCAGTCTTGGTCTCCCTAGCCCATATGTCTTCTTTAGCCCACATCTTTATATAGCTTATCGTCTAAATCTAAGCCCTTACTTAATACCTTGGCACGCCTCTTCTCTATCTACGATCGCTCCTCATCAAGTGCTCGTGGGTT